ACATCAGGGAGTGCAAAGGGGCAGGAGAAAGTAAATTCATATAAAATTCCTACCCTTTAGGAGATGACAGAATTTCTTAGAAAGGAAATATTGCCTAATTAGTCATGAAAAATAAACTTTTAGTTCTTCTATTTTGAAAGGAGACAAATTAATCTCATTTAGATATTATTATGAGGGTATGTGAGAGTACATAATCAATTTTTTAGAAAGCCCCTTTTCAGTGTGTTTCTAAACTTACTTATTTTTTGGGCCCCCCTGGTGGCACAGCAATTTAGCACTGGGCTGCAAGGCTGCCCGCAGCCTCTGCAGCGCCGGTTCGTTCCCCGGCCGCTGGTGAGGATCCCACAAAAAAATAAAATAAAATAAATAAATTAAAAAATAAACTTATTCTTTGTTTAAAATTACTAAATATCAGGCCTCCCCTGGTGGCGCAGGCGGTTGAGCGCCCCGCTGTGAAGCTCTCCGCGGACTGCAGAGGCCAGTGGTTCGATCCCAGCCAGCTGGTGAGGGTCCCACATGGCGCGGCAGACCTCTCCTGTCTTGCCCCGCTGCTCCCCTCAGCAGTGTATTTCAGTCAGTCTGTCTGTTCTATTTCCCACTCTGTTTCTGGTGAATCCTCTCACCCTCCCGCGAATCTGGCCTGTACCCCGGTTCTTGTATAAATAAATAAATCTTAAAAAAAAAAAAAGATTACTAAATCTCAGCTCTGGGTCTAGCTTCTAGTCTTCCCCCTCACTCCATCCCAATTTTTGAACTGAAAATGTATGTTAATTTACAAATGATTAATTCAAATCAATGGTGTGAATGTGACACAGTCAGTGAGAAAAACCCAGTGATTTCTTGGGTGTTTTTTCTCTTTAATAAGGAAAACATGGTTACTGTTATGAAAAAATATCTGGCCACTTTGTGGAGAGTACTTGATCACTATGGCTGGCCTTGTCTTCCCTTTAAGACTGGAGAATCACACATTGCTAAATAGCATTGACTACATTGAGTGTTCATTATATTTCAAGTTCTGAGTGTGCCAGTTGCTTTCTATGTGGTATCTCCTTTAATCCAGTAAAACTTTTATTTTCTAAAATCCCCTTGTTACAGATGAGAAACAAATATCAGAGAATAATTAACACGTACAGGGTTCTGATCTAGTTAGGGCTAGGATGTGAATTCAAGCAAACTAACACCATGATAAATAGAACAAGGTAGCCATACTGAATTTTTTTTTTTTTAATTGAACCAATTAGTTTAGGTCAGAAAGTAAAGTTTGTTAGTTTCCTCACATGAAAACTTCCAGAATGATGGTTTTGTTATTTTCCAAGTGAACAGCAGATTTTCCTGTCGAGACTAAGAAGTTCGCAGGTAAACTGTTGGCAGTAGTGTCTGCCTTTGGCTGGACTAGTGGAAAATGGGTGCTGTCTGGTGTTGGTTGGGTTTGAGGAACTTCCTGAAGCTTATAAAACTCTGTCCCATTTTTCACATCCAAATTGTAGGAGAATGGGAATAAGGATAAAAGACAGCTCTTTGGGAAAAATGAAGGGGCTTGATGAGCGTGTGTAGTGGGAAACTCAGAAAACGTGAAGTCAGAAGATTTCAATTAAATTCTCTGACACTCATGCATTAAAAGCCACTCACCTTTTCTGAATCTGTTTTCTCATCTTTAAAATAGAAACAATGATAGTTGTAACTAAAATCCTTAACTCTAGGGGCTGAAGATCAAATGAAATAATACGCTGTAAAAACTAAATAAAGCAAGGTGTTTTAAAAACTGTTAATGTTAATAAAACGTGTTTTTGTTCTCTAACTGGAAAACTTTATTTCTTTTAAATGCAGAAAAAATACCAACAAAAAGTTTTTACTCTGCAATAGTACTTGATTTAAAGTGTCCTCACCAAAATACTTGGACGGACTTTTACTTCCCCCAAGTATTCTAAACCCCTAGGCATTTAAGCAATCTCTAAGTGTACCAATTACTGTCTAATGGGCAAATCCCATGATCTTTTCTCAGTCTTCAATAGAATTGTAATAGCAATAGACATTCATTAAAAAATTTGAATGCCTACTGTGTGTCTGGAGTGGTGTTAAGTCATTGAAAATAAAATCAGTGAAATAAAAGCAGGGAAAAATGAAATTGCCTATTAAGCTCCTGTTGTGTATTAAGTGCTATATATAATGTCATTTAATCTCCACAGCAGTCCCACAAAATAGGTTTTGTAACATGTTTTATAAACCAGGAGTCTTAAGGTTCGGAGAGTTTGAGAGGTGTGCCCAGTGCCTCTTAGCAAAAAGATAGTATAACTGGGATTAAAAGCCTATCATCTCTCCCAGCAAATGTTTTTCTTTGACAAATCACATTAATTCATGTACTCATAATTTGCCCAGCCTAAATCCTCTTGACCTTTTTATTTCTATGAACATTGAGATAGCCACCTGTGCTTAAAACAAGGATGATTTTGAAAACCCTTACTCAATTCCCCTCCATATCAAGTCAGCTTGATCTTGATTGACAACAACTTCCATTTTGGTTGCCAACCTTTAGCACTCATTACTTCTTTCTATAATTATTGTAGTAGGCTTCCAACTAGTCTTTCTATTTTAGGATCTTCTGCATTCAGGCTAATTGTATAATGTTGCCTGGTGATTCTTACTAAAGCTCAAATCTAACTATTTCCTTTCTAAAAAATCTTCCATGGCCTGTTATGGAAGTGTTCATAAGACTGTTAAAAATTGCCAGTGTTCATAAGACTATCTTAGTGTCCAGTGTGTGTGACTAACCACATGTAAACCTTCTCCCTCAACATTCTTTTTCTCATACATACCAGTGTCTTTTCAGGCTTGTCTGATTAGAATCATCTGTGTCTTTTAAAGCATAAATACTCAGGCCCACTTGAACCTACCAAGCCAGAATCTTCAGGGATTTGCACGTTCTTATGGGGCATGGGAAGGCCCAGGGGACTTCTAAGAGGCTCAGAGCACAGGTATGCTCCTGGGACTCCTGCTATACTGCTATGTGCTGAGGGAATCAGCGAGAACCACCTAGTCATCCCTCATTTCTCCTAGCTACCCTTTCTCACCCATCACAGGGAGTCAAGCCAAGTGACAAAAAGCCCAGAGACAAATTAAAGTGAACTCTCCAAAGAGATGATTTTCTCCCATATTTGTGAGTGTGAGATATATATATTTTCAGCATTTTTATACTTTTATTTATTTTAACATTTATCGTTTTTTAAATTTTTTCGACAATATTTGCTTCCCCCTATCCCCTTAGATTGAGTCCCCATAGAATCTCCTTCCCAAAGGCACCCATGCACCATCACTATAGTCCCCTGTGCTCCTCCCTCCCTCCCTCTCACCCCTCTCCCTCCTCCTCCCTTGCAGGATGTCTCTGATTTATAATTGCCTATTTTTGCTTTGTTGTGTTTTGTACTGTTACTATTTTTTTTAACACTGATGCCTTATTTGATTCCCCTATATTTCTGCTATAAGTGAAACCATCCAATATTTTTCTTTTTCCCTCTGGCTTATTTCACTGAGCATAATTCCTTCTAGCTCCATCCACGTTGCTGCCAATGACATAAGTTTATCTTTTTGATTGCTGAATAATATTCCATTGTGTATATATACCACATCTTCTTGATCCAGTCATCTATTTTTGGGTATTTGGGTTGTTTCCAGGTTTTACCTATTGTAAATAGTGCTGCAATAAGCATAGGCGTACAGGTGCTCTATTGAATCATTGTTTTTGTGTCCTTTGGGTAGATCCCTAATAGTGAAATTACCGGGTCGTATGGTAGCTCCATTTTTAGTAGACTGAGGAACCTCCAGACAGCTTTCCAAAAAATGTTCAACATCCCTGATAATCAGGGAAATGCAAATCAAAGCCACACTGAGACACCACCTTACACCAGTAAGAATTGCACATATCAAAATAACAAGCAACAACAAATGTTGGTGAGGATGTGGTGAAAAAGGAATTCTCTTACATTGCTGGTGGGAGTGCAAACTGGAGCATGAGATATTTTAAGGTGAGCACAATATGAAACACATAAGGGAGTTTAACTTGTAAATATAGTTAACTTACACATGAAGTGTTCCACTAAAATTTTGTGTGTGTGTGTATATGTATATATATGTTATATGTATATACACACACACATACACATATATGGCTTGCTTTTCCCCAAAATGATGACTTATAATAAGACTTATAAAAAGACTCTCAATATTGTAAGTTAAAAGACACTGAAACAGTAAGATTTAGAAACAAGAGTAGAAAAAAGACTTTAGTATATAAAGCTCTATTATCATTGAAATATGTTTAGTAATTCACTGTATTAAAGATCATTGCTTTTGTCTTTTCTTTTAGTCTTCCCACTTTGCTCCGCTAATAAGCAAAGCTGCCTAGTTAAAAAATATCTCTATTTCCACATTACATATTTACAGGTGTTAAAATTCTCAGTAATTTCAATTTCACCCAAATTCCTTTTAAATATAGCATTTTTATGAAACCCACAATTTAAAAAAAATTGCAAGTAAAATGTAGCATGTAAGTTCTTTGTTTTTGAAAGCAGCAAATCTAGACCCTTTGGCTATCATACAAATTAGGCTGAGAAGTAAATATGGATAGATATTTAATTGGAAAGTGGAGAAATCATTTAAAACCCCTAAGTAAAATGAGATATTTAATTATACATTCTGAATGTGACCAAGTAGTGTGAATACTAATTTATTCTTTCCTGTATCCATCTATTCTTCTAGTCATTCATCTGCAGCATATAGCCCCTACTACACACAGTGCCCTGTATAATCTGCAAATTTTGCTACCACCTTAGTATTCACCAAGTTCTGCTGACTTACTAAGAACTGAAGAAAGCTATGTGAGATCTGTCATTCCTTTCCAGATTTATTTTCTTCAACATTAAATTGCTTTTAAAAAATGTTGATATAATATTTATGGATGAATCTTTATTTTCCTGACACTTTGCTTATGAAATTTTGTTTTTTAGAATTATATTCATTCTATATATGGCACGAAACTCCTGGATCCACTGTCTTTTTAGGTAAAATACTCTTTTTTCTAGGTGGAACTGGTAGTCTAGACATGTGGTGATAATTAGTTCCCTGACTTGTTTGTTGCATCAACATTTGGGCCATAGTCACCATCCATACTAATGCGGTCATACATGGTGTGTATGCTTGCACCTGACTCTTGGGGCTGCTCCCTTTCTTGGTAGGGAGAGCAAACTATGCACAACTTGGAAGAGACAGGGAGGATGATGCCCTTGCTTCAGCTATCCTGTTCCAATGGAAGAAGGCTGGACTTTTGAAAATAGAGAGATTAGTGTTTTATATACAGTCTATCTAAACTCCACACTTTTTGATGTCAGACAAATTAGCATTTCTGAGCCTCAGTTTCCTCATTTGTAAAATGTGAAGAATATTATCTAGCTCATGGGTTTCATCTACTGTCAAAAATTTACTTCCCTTTTACCATCAATAAATATTAGTTGTATCCAATTAAGTGGTAATACATTTGAATTGCTTGTATCAAATTAATTGTGATTGTTTCTTTGCCTGTTGGATTCCTGTTAAAAGGTAAATGTTTACAGTACCCCAAATTCAAATGTTGAAGCCCTACTGCCAGTATTTCAAATAGGGGCTTTGGGAAATAATTAGGTTTAGATTAATTATAAGAGTAGAACTGTCATAGTGGGCTTAGTGCACTTGTGAGAAGAGGAAGAGGAAAGCCTTCTCTCTCTCTCAGCAATAAGGTTACCTTTGGCGAGGGTCCTCATCCAGACATTGGCAGCACTTTGTTTTTGGACTTGCTAGCTTCCTGAACTGTGAGAAATAAATTTCTTTTGCTTAAGCCACATAGTCTATGGTATGTTGATATAAAACCTTGAGTAGACTACCATAGTTAGTCTTTACTAATTCCTTAGGACAAGTGTTATAATTGACATTTTGTTCAGGATCCCTAGTATTTACCATACTTAGTGCATAAGACTTAATAAGTCCTGTTGGACACAACTTAGGATATAGAATAACTCAGTCTTAATGTTCTTATCAGCTCTATTCCCTATTGATAATGCTTCTCACCACTCACATACAAAAAACCCAAGACAGTTTAGAAAAATGAGTTAAAATAAAAACCTACAGTTTGATCAAAAGACCCATAGGATACACCGTAATATTGTTTCCACCATGAGGTTGGATGTGAATCAGAATAAATTTAAATTTAAACTATAATGTATTAGCTGTGTAGATAAAGGATTTAATTTGACTAACTCATTTTATTTGTTAAATAGTCTTTATGGATCTGTTTTGAGCCTTAGATGAAATCATGTAATTTAAAAAAAATTGAAGGTTTTCTTATCTTGTACCATTACTTAAATATGTTTATGCTATTTCTAAATTCCTGAATGCTTTTAGACTAACCCAGAGAACTCTCTTTGGAATATCATTCTTTGTTGCAAACGTATTTTCTTGTAGCAGGAAGCGATAAAAACACATGGCACAGAGAGCTAGTGACTGAAGAGGAAGTTAATGGTGTTTGTTTTTTCTCCCAAATTAGTAGTTCAAAAATTAAAAATAAAATGTGTCTTGCCAAGTTTGGAAAATACACAGAATGCTTTGATTAAAGAAACACAGTGGACCTAATTTTTTGACATAAGTATTTTTTTGATATTTATGAATTGAATTGCTTTTTAAATTTGAAATTTTAGGCTTTGCACTTTATTTTATAAATTGCAATGATTAAAATATTTAAGTGATATTAACTACACAATGAACTTACTTTTTCTTTACCCTGTAACCTTAGAAGCCAAGAGAAGGTTTAGAACAAGGTATTTTGGAATCATTGACAAGGACAGATGATATGTGTGGATACTATGTCAAGATTGTCATGACTCTAAGACAAAGTTTGCAAGGTTTTCAAGCTCTAACAGGTAGAAATAAACAAAGGTTTTTCCCAGCTATGTAATGAAAAAAATAAAAAACAAATTGTGATTGGTAAGTATTGTTTGACTCAAAGCCAGATTTTTTTTTTTAAACAGGAGATTTTTATTTTTTTTTTATTTTTTATTTTTTTTAATTTTCTAGAGGCATGTCTTATTTATTTATTTATTTATTTATTTATTTATTATTTGTTTGTTTGATACATGCACTGGGTACAGTCAGAAGCGTGGGAGGGTGAGAGAATTCACCAGAGCCAGAGCGGGGAGCAGAGCAGGCAGAAGGACCAAAGTACACTGCTGAGGGGAGCAGCGGGCGGCAGGAGAGGTCTGCTCACCATGTGGGACCCATCTCCGGTGGCCAGGGAGCAGCCGGGGATCGAACCGGCTGCAGAGGCTGCAGGCAGCTTCGCAACCCAGCGCTCAACCGCTGCGCCACCGGGGAGGCCCTAAACAGGAGATTTTTAAATGTCCACAAATTTGTAGTATTTCTGAAGGTGGTGGAAATGAGATGGAATGAGGAGGGGTTATTGTAGAAGACGATTGAGAAAATCTACAGAAGTTACTATAAATGCTATTCTAGAAAGTTAGAATATTTTTACATTGAAGAACACCTTCTGTAGTTTGGAAAGGAGAATATGACTACTTTAAAATATGTTTCATTTAATTAAAATCAAGATTTATATGGTTTGCTGCTGCTGTTACATGAGTATCATTTTGACTTTTTCTTGGCTATTGCCTGATGGGTTGCAAAGATTCATATGTATTTTGTTATGGATAAAAAAGAGTTCCTTTAGTAGATATTTGACTTTTTACTGCAAAATCCCTTGTGTACACTTCTGCTGTCAAATTTGACAGTAGTCATGTACCCTTGGAAAATAACGTTATAAAGCCTATTATGTGGAAAGGAGCACAGTTATTTACCATGAAGAAAAAGAGGAAACAAAGATATTGTAGGGATTACATTCTTTCACTAAGGAATTAACTTTGAAAGATCATTGAGAAAGTAGTATTTGGGAGTGGTGGATATCTTTAGATTGCTCCTAAATAAAAGCATAATTTTAAAAAATGAACTATAAAGAAATCATCTAGTACAGTGTTGTGAACTATTAGTGGACCATGAAATATATTTAGTAGGTTGCAATTAAACAATGGAATACACTAGACCATTTTACAGCATACCATAGTGCACATATATTGAGTTTTAATTGTAAAACTGATGTATGATTTTTATACACCTAAGCATGTTTTTATATATGTGTAAATATACTTACTGGTCTTAATATGAAATGCATTTTTTTAAAGATTTATTTATTTATGCATACAAGAACTGGAGTACAGGCCAGAGGTGTGGGGGTGTGAAAGGATTCACCAGAGACAGAGTGGGGAACAGAACAGGCAGACTGGCTGAAATACACTGCTGAGGGGAATAGTGGGAGAGACAGGAGAGGTCTGCTGCGCCATGTGGGCAGCTCCCTGACTAGTGGGGTATCGAAGTGGTGCTGCAGAGACTGCGGACAGCTTCCCAGTGCTGTGCTTAACCCCTTGCACCACCAGGAAGGCCCAAAATGAAATGTATTTTTCAGTGTGAATATTAGTTGAGGAAGCTTGAAAGTCATTGCTGAGTCCTCCCATTTCTCTGATGAGGAAATTGAAAGAGGCCGACTGACATTTTAAGTGGGTCTCCTTGAGGTGGTTTATCTGTCATTCAGTCTCCCTGTTATAATTTTTTTTTAATTTTTAAATTTTTTTTTAATATTTATTTTTTAAAATGAATTTTATTTTTATATTCCCCATACAATTGCAATCCCCTTATTTTGACCCCAATCCCTCCCCTCCCCATAGAGTGTCTCTGGTTCATAATTTTTTGTTGATTTTGATTTTCACTTTCTTATAGTTATTCATTTTCCTGGTCCCTTATTTAAGTTTTCTAGATTCCTGCTATGAGTGAGACCATCCGGTATTTTTCTTTTTCTTTCTGGCTTATTTCGCTGAGCATGATCCCTTCCAGCGCCATCCATGTTACTGCAAATTGCATGTGTTTATCTTTTCTGAATGCTGAGTAATATTCCATGGTATATATGTACCACATCTTCTTGATCCAGTCATCTATTTTTGGGCATTTGGGTTGTTTCCAAAGCTTAGCTATTGTAAACAGTGCTGCTATAAACATAGGGGTGCAGGTGCTCTTTGGAGTTGATGTTTCTGTGTTCTTTGGGTAAATACCTAGGAGTGGAATTGCTGGATCATATGGAAGCTCTATGTTTAGTAGGTAAATGTTGGCGAGGATGTGGAGAAAAAGGAACTCTCCTGCTCTGTTGGTGGGAGTGCAAACTGGTCTAACCACTATGGAGAGCTATGTGGAGAGTCCTGTTGTAATTTTTTGATCATCTGTACCTCGTCGATGTATTCCCTCACTCCCCCCCCCCCGTTCTAGTATTTCTGTATTTGTGACACCAGAAAGTGGGTATAAAATGCTGAGTCTGTGGAGATAAATCTACACTAGGCCTCTGAGGGTCAGTACTTAATACTTGTGATACCAAATGGAAAAGAACAGAACCTTTACAGCTCTCTCTGTAGATAAGGTCAGTTAATTTTCCACAGGTTAAATCAGGTAGAAAGTTAGAGCAATAACTTAATAAATTTCATCAATAATGCAGGTATTTTTTATTAACTTCCAATAAAGCTACTGAGTTCAATAAATATTTATTGAGCTCCTGCTTTGTGCCAGCCACTTACGTCCTCCTTTATGGGAAATGAATATCCATATATTAAAATTGATCCCTCATCTTATGTTGGATGCTAACCGATTTACTGAAACATGAGGGTTTTGAGGATGTTTGCCAAAGATAATAAAGTGCAAAGTGTATTGCTCTGTTTAGTTTGGTTATTAATTGAATATAGGCTACTAAGTCATTGCCTGAGGCAGTTAATAGCATCCGGGAGAAGTCCCAGATGATGACACCATGAGCCTCCTTTTTCTTGATGGCTGTCACTACAGAGGGATAACCATTAGGTCTAAGCCAGTGGAAGGAGATGTGTAAGCAATTTGATCTTACTGGTGGGTCCAGAAAACTGTATTTTTTGGTCCGCATTTTGAATATTTGCTAATTTAAAATACTGAACAAGACAGTTTGTATTTATTTTTACTTGATTAGTGATTTTGAACATTTCTCCCACATATTTATTGCATTTTCTTCCCCTTTTTAAATTTTTGCTTGTGGTCATTGCATATTTTTCTTTTGGACTATTTTATTTTAATTATTGATTTGTAAGAACTTTTTGTATATTTTTGAAATTATTTTTTATTGTGAAAAATATATTACACATTACCATTTGAACCCTTGTTAAGTGTATACTTTAGTGGCATTAAAAACTTTTATGTTATTCCGTAACCATCACCACTGCCTATTCCTGGCACTTTTCCATCATTACAAAGTAGGGAGAAAAAAATAAAACCAAAACAACCCTGGTTTGATGCTATGAAGTGAGCAGCAGTGTCTCAACCTTACATGTGTTGTGCAGGACCTCTTTCATCCTTGGCAAGAGGAATGTGAACTCACTTTCTTTCCTTTTAACCCCTAATAATATTTCTCTAGATCCAAAGCTTCCTTGATTATTGCTACTTTACTTTTAAAGATATATTCATATATTAAATAAACAGAGAAAAGCTGTTTTGATATAAGCCATCTTACAGAGCAAGTTCTATTTTGCTGAGTCTTTATAGTCTTCCACTTTTAATTCAATCTACTTGTGTTTGATGTTTTCCTCACTTGCCAATGTGGTATTTCCAGCTGTGCATGGAAATTAATTTTCTATTTGAATAGACAATTCCAGGAAATTATCTATTAAGGTTATAGGAGGCAAAGAGAATGTTGTTTTACTCTTTTTTTCCTCTGATATTCTTGGCACTACAAGGAGAGGAAAAGTGTTGATTTAAAAGTTCATGATCGATAATTCAATTTTTTTGACTTTTAATTAATATTATTTAAGTAAAATAAACACTGCCACTGATCAATCACAAAGGTGGCCAATAATAGATATATGTGGCACTGAAAAATTATTCTTTATTTATTTATTTATTTATTTATTTATTTTAATAGAGGCATGTTTTATTTATTTGTTTGTTTGTTTGTTTTGTTTATACATGCACTGGGTACAGTCAGAAGCATGGGAGGGTGAGAGAGCTCACCAGAGCCAGAGCGGGGAGCAGAGCAGGCAGACTGACAAAGTACACTGCTGAGGGGAGCAGCGGGCGGCAGGAGAGGTCTGCGCGCCATGCGGGACCCTCCACTGGTGGCCAGGGAGCAGCCGGGGATCGAACCGGCGCCACAGAGGCCGCGGGCAGCTTCGCAACCCAGCGCTCAACCACTGCGCCACCGGGGAGACCCAAATTATTCTTTATTTAACGAAAACAATTTTAAGTGGATCTTCCAGAGACTCTGTAACCTTATTTTATTTTGGATAGTAGACCCCTTTCTGTATCTGACTGGTTCTGCGGTATCTCAAAATCTAAGGTCCATTGAATTCTATCTAAAACCCTAAGGGCAATCTATGTTTTGGAACTGAGAAATGATCATATTTTAAGAAGGTATTATAGAACATATAACTATATGTCATGCCACTTTAATGGGTTGAGGTAAGCTCTTAAAAATAACAATAATATTTCTGCAGTGAAATTTAGAGATGTTAATAACAAATTATATTAATGAAGACACTAAATATCCTTATGTCTGTGGGCCACTTTTTATTGCCAGATGAGTTTACGTTAGTGGCCATATGAGTTGTGAAAGATCTTTTTTTCTTCATGGTCATGGGTAAAAGACCAAAAAAATTTCACCAGTACTTTTGGGACTTTAATTCTCTTGGGTAGAAGTTGCTTGGCTCCATGTTCTAGCCATGCCTGCTTCCCCCTAGCCCCACTCAACTTGAGGACTCAACAGTTTCAGTATTAACAGACATTGGTTCTAATTCTTTAGACTCAACATGTTTGCCATTGTGTGAATGTATCATCATAAACACACATCACTTTATGTATCACCTTAAACATACATATGTTTTATGTTTACATATGTAAAATATCTATCTACATATTTGTAAAATATATAGATGTTTATATATAACGTCTCCATCTCTGCATTGACTATTCTCAGTACGTGAAGTGGCATTTCCTCTTTTCCTCTTGCTAAGTTTACCCTCCCCCCCATTGTTCTAATAGGATAATTTAGTTTTTCCTTATTGTATTCCATGTATTCCTTGAATGATTTGTATCTGCCTTTGTTATAACATGCAGTATGTTACTCTATAATCATTTGAATATTTATTTCTCTCCCATTAGTATCTTTTGTTGAGAATAGTACTGCTCTGTATGTACATTGCCTTTCACAGTGCCTGGCACATCATGAAGGCAAAGATTTTTCAGTCTAAAATGAATAGAAGCAGTGTATTTGGAGGTGATGGGTAGAAGCTGGGGAGGAGTCAGGGAAGAGTATGTGCAATAGAAATGAATTCATGGACAAGAGTGAGCGAGAAGGCTGGTGGTTTATTTAGTTTAAATGCACATGAAGCTTAAAAATCTAAGCAGTTTATGTGGAAAATTAGGAAAATTTTAGAAAGGAACTGAAGTTTGTGACAGACCTTGGCAGGTGGGTGGGATTGGGGTAGGAAAAGAGTGCTTGGTGCTTTCTGGAGAATGGGAATATGTTGAGGAGGGAATGGGCAATGAAGAAGAAAGAAGATATTGAAGCTATTGTTCAGTTCCAACATTAATTCTGATTTAGGAGAGTGATGTACAAAACAGGTCAGTAGTCCAAGAAGGTCTGGATTATGTAGAACAATCTGTAATAAGGAAAGGAATTGGATCTGTTTAGAAGAAGATGCCTACGTGAATTAAAGACTAGAACAGGGATGAGGGGTTATTTTTACAACACTTTTGCAAATGAATGTATCCATAGCCTATCCAGTGATGTCTAAACTAAAGGATGTGGAAGAGGCTTGGTGGTTTACACCCTTGTGTTGAAAACTTATAGGATATCATAAGGACCTGAGCTGAGGTAATGGGAGAGAAAATGAGAATGAAGAAAGAGTATGAAACTTTTGAAAACTAAACCATCATGTGGTGGTTAATTTTTGTTTCAATTTTATCGAGCCACAGGGTGCTGAGATATTTGATCAAATATTATGCTGGGTGTTTCTGTGAGGGTGCTTTTAGATAAGATTAATATAAATCCTTACACTGAGCAGATTATCTTCCATAATGAGGTGGGCCTCATCTAATTAGCTGAAGGCCTGATTGGAAGAAAAGGTTGATTTCCCCAGGAAAGAGAGAATTCTTCTGCTTGACAGCCTAGGAACTGCATCATTGGTTCTTCCTGGTTCTGCAGCAGCCTGTTGGTCATTGCACTCTAACTGGGACATTGGTGCTGCAGATTTTAGACTTTACAGCACCCATATTACATGAGCCAGTTCATTATAATTCTCTGTTTCTTTGGAGAACCTTAGTACACTCAGAATATGGAAATTGACTGGATTTGGGAACCATAGTAAGGGAAGAATTAAAGATGACTTAAAAATTTGGGACTGAAACTTCAGGAGAATAATACGTAAGAAATAGAAATGGTATAAGCAGTTGTGTTGAGGGAAATGGATTTGCTTTGGATTTTGTTGACTCTGAAGTGATACTAGACATTCAAGTTAAATTATTTAAAGGGTTGTAGTAAGGTAGTTAACTTCTGTGAGCTCAGTTTGGTGTGGCTTCTTAGGATCATCTGCAGCAGTTGAACAGAAGTCACATATATGAGAGACCCAAGTTTACAGGGGAGTGAGAGAGAAGAACAGAGGGCAAGGATTTGGTTGAAGCTTCCAGGAGGGAATTACGGAGCTACAGGAGAAAGGTGAGACAATGCATAAAAAACTACTTGGTTAACCAAGTTTTCTGTTGACATTAGTTTGTCTCTTGCTGTAGATGTAAGATCCTCGAGGGCAACAATTAACCCACTCCAGTTTCCCCATATATATATATATATATATATATATTTATTCATGCATACAAGAACCAGGGTATAGGCCAGATGTGCAGGAGGGTGAGAGGATTCACCAGAGACAGAGCAGGGAACAGGAAAGGCAGACTGACTGAAATACACTGCTGAGGGGAGCAGCAGGCGAGACAGGAGAGGTCTGCTGTGCCATGTGGGTAGCTCCCTGGCTGGGGATCGAACTCATGCTGCTGAGGCTGCGGACAGCTTCACAGCACTGCGTTCAACCACCTGCGCCACCAGGGGAGGCCCTTCCCCAAATTTAATATTCTGCTGTAGATACTTGAGATCCAGGCTTTCCTTTTTCTTTTTTTTTCACTTTAAAGAAAAACTGAGGCAGATATATAGAATTAAGTTGGACATTTTAATTCCTATGACTTTGATTTTTTTTCCAAAAGTGTATTTCTTATGAAGAAATTTATCCTCAAATTCATTTTATTTTTATGTATATTTATGTTCGAGTCATTTAGCCATACATGATGGTCATCTGATATCTTAGTTCTGTTTGTGTTATACATAGGTAGAGAATCTGCTTTTACTATTTGCCCTGAAATTAGATCTTTGAGATTTAAAAAGAGATTTGCACATTCAGGGACATACAAAAGCATTAGTAAAACTTTTGTGACAACTTTGCTCCATTTATAAGTCACACTAATGACTGCTTTGCTTCTCAGTAATTTTCCATTTGTAACATTTTATACCTGGATACACAAATGTAATGCAATTGAACAAGAAAACAATTATCTGTCTGGTGGAAATAATGTACTTATCTCATTGAAACAATTGACTTGTTTAAAAATACACAGAAGTTCTAGTTTTGCTCAGACTGTAGTTACCTGTAATTTGTAAAGTATTTCTGGGAAGGATTAAAATGCAGATGTAAAGGAAGCAATTGAATCCACTAATTGCAAATGATAAATTTTAATGCAGAATTCCCCTCTCATACAAAGCTCTATTTGGAATCATTTTAGGTTTGAGAACTTTTTCAATAAGCTATGAGTTCTGGCTGAATCCTTGGAAAACTGCACTCACCGATTGTATCTTCTAATGAACGCTTCATGTTGACTTGTGGGTTCTATGTCAGTGGAACATTTCAGCACTTTTTGGCCTGGCTCAGATGTTTCTTGGCATTTTCTGAGGAGTTTGGAAAATGTCATCTATAGGATCACATTGGGTTCCGGATATATCCTAAAAGTCATATTTCATCAGAAAGCTAATTTGGGATTTTATTGGGTTTTGGTGGTAGATTAACACCATTGGGCAAAGTGAGGATTCAATATTTTAAATAATATTTCCAAGAACTTAAGAACTTTAAAAATAATACAAGGAGAGACTACTTTCCTTTAGCCCAGTGCTTATTCTTTTTGTTTCTGATCTTTTCACAAAGGTCAATGTCCTGTCTTTTAATCTTTTTATTATAATTCTGCCTTCCTCAGAACTTTCTAAAGCTTCTGCAGATCAACACCTTTATTGGGGGGGATGGGTAAAGAGAGATGCTCTGACTTTTGATTGACTTCAGTCTTGTGGTGTGCAACTGACTTGGATTT